CTAATGAGATTAGGCATAAAATTTTTGCCCATAACTTGGGGAGTGGTTGGGGAGTTAAAGAACAAAGAACAGGCCCTTTGGCCCACCAAGCCTGTGCTGACACATGACAATTGTCTAAACTAAAAACCTTTGCCTCCATAAGGTCTGTATCTCTCTATTCCCTACCTATTCATGCACCTGTTAAGATGTCTCTTAAACATTGTTATTGAATCTGCTTCTACCACCTCTTCTGGCAGCACATTCCAGGCATTTATCACCCTCTGTGTAAAAAAAACTTGCTTCTCATCTCCTTTAAATTTACCCCCTTTTACCTTAAACCATTGTTCCCTAATAAGTGACATTTCTATCCTGGAAAGCAGACTATCCATTTCTCTCATCATTCTGTACATGTCTATCAGGTCACCCCTTAGCTTCTGACGTTCAAGTGTAAACAAGAAAGGTTATCCAGTCTCTCCTCATAGCTAATACCCTCCAAACCAAACAACAAATTGGTAAACTGTTTCTATATCCTCTCCAAAGCCTCCACATCCTTCTGGTAGTGTGGCAACGAGAACTGTACGCAATATAGTCGGTTCTGATATAACGCAACAGTTGCATTGTTGCACGACCTCGCACTATTGAAAATCGTGAAACAACCGTGACACTTAAAGTGATGGGAACAGAACTGCATGAGAGCCAACACAGGTAGGGAAAGATTGTTTTTTACAAATAGCGTTTTCCTATTTTTCAATTGCGTTCAGCCAATTCGCGTTGAAGAAACACGCGTTCTATCAGAATCAACTGAATTTCAAAGATGGCCTAACCAAAGTTCCATACAACAAAGTTGCTGGAAAAGCTCAGCAGGTCTGGCAGCATCTGTGAAGAAAAAAAACAGAGTTAACATTTGGTGACCCTTCCTCAGAACTGATGGTGGCTCTGAAAACATCAGTTTATATGCAGAAAAAAGGGAGGCGGGTGGCATAGCAAGTAAACGATAGGATAGAGCCGAAAGAGAGAGAAGAACAGTTAGATAGACAAAGGAGTTGATAACGATCAAGCTGGGAGGATGAATAGTTGTTAATGGGGACTATTAGTGACTAACAACAGGTAGTGTGTAATTACTAATGCCATTACACAATATTCTGGCACAGATTCCAACAAGTTCTGGGAACTTTTTTCAACATCGACATAGCCCAGTTTATCAACGTACCCCTCCAGAGACTCACTACCTACCATGTCCTATTCTTTCATGAATACCGATGCAAAGTATTCATTTAGGACCTCACCCACTTACTCCAGCCCAACACATAAACTCCCTCCTCTGTCCTTGAGTGGACCTGCCCTTTCCCTAGCTACATACATACATACATTCCCTAGTTTACATACATATAAAACACCCTGGGATTTTCCTTACTCCTGTTTGCCAAGGACATTTCATGGTCTCTTCCAGCCCTCATAACTCCTTGTTTAAGTTCTTTCCTGTTTACTTTATATTCTTCGAGTGCTCCACCTGCTTTCATTTACATTTGCATAGTAATGAGCACTGCCTGCTTACCTACTCTCCAATAATGTCAGTCGAATGAGGGTAGAGATGGGGCAAGACCATAAATACTTTAAAAGGTGCAGGCAGACAGATTCTTGATCATCAAGAGAATCAAAAGGAAATCAAGCATGGATTAAAATGTTGAATGCAGACCACAAACAGATCAGCTATGACCTTAGTGAATGGTGGAGGGAGCTCAATATGCCAAATAGTCTACTCCTTCTCTTGATTCATACATTTGCACGACATAGAATAGAGAGTGTTACAGCATGGAAGGCGGCCATTTGGCCCTTCACGCTTGCACTAGCACTCCAACTGAGCATTCTGACTTAGGTACCATTCACCTGCCTTTTCCCCTTACCCACTTGAATGCCTCAATTGAACATGCTTTGACCACACTTTCAGGTTGTGCATTCCAAACATAAACCACCAGTGTAAAATATTTTTTCTCTCATCATATTTGCTTCTTTTGCAAATCAGTTTCAATCTGTGCCCTCTCAGTCTTGAGGCTCATAAAAGAATATCTACTCTATCCGGCCTGCTCAGTTTTGAAAATGTCTATCACATCTCCAAGAAGAACATTCTCAACCTCTCCAACGTATCCCCTGAACTGAAGTTTCTCATCCCTGGAACCATTAAATCACTAGTTAATTTGTTTTTAGTTGAGGGATTAGTGTCACTTAGGAATATAGTGACATGGGATATTCTTTGCAATGACCCAATAGGAAAATGTCACAGTTTAGGTTCAGCATGAAAAATTATAGTTTAGTTACGAACTGAGCTGCAGTTTAAAATATCTAAGTAATGACTAGGATAATATTATTATAGTGGCAAAGGAGAGGGAGGAACCTCTGACACAAATACAAAGTTGCTGGAAAAGCTCCTTCAGAGGAGTCTCTGAAATGTGTTCAAGAGAACTTCCACTTTAAATGGGGAACTGCCAGATCAGCCAGGGAAGGAGATGAGCTATGGGACAATCTTCTATTTGGAAACATTCAGCTAAGAGGAATAATTGTACATTGAACATAGAACATAGAACATTACAGCGCAGTACAGGCCCTTCGGCCCTCGATGTTGCACCGACCTGTGAAACCAATCTGAAGCCCATCTAACCTAAACTATTCCATTATCATCCATATGTTTATCCAATGACCATTTAAATGCCCTTAAAGTGGGTGAGTCTACTATTTTTGCAGGCAGGGCATTCCACACCCTTACTACTCTCTGAGTAAAGAACCTACCTCTGACATCTGTCCTATATCTATCACCCCTCAATTTAAAGCTATGTCCCCTCGTGCTAGCCATCACCATCCGAGGAAAAAGGCTCCCACTGTCCACCCTATCTAATCCTCTGATCATCTTGTATGTCTCTATCAAGTCAACTCTTAACCTTCTTCTCTCTAACGAAAACAGCCTCAAGACCCTCAGCCTTTCCTCATAAGACCTTCCCTCCATACCAGGCAACATCCTGGTAAATCTCCTCTGCACCCTTTCCAATGCTTCCACATCCTTCCTATAATGCGGTGACCAGAACTGTACGCAATACTCCAAGTGCGGCCGCACCAGAGTTTTGTACAGCTGCAACATGACCTCATGGCTCCGAAACTCAATCCCTCTACCAATAAAACCTAACATACTGTACGCCTTCTTAACAACGCTATCAACCTGGGTGGCTACTTTCAGTGATCTATGCACATGGACACCGAGATCTTTCTGCTCATCCACACTACCAAGAATCTTACCATTAGCCCAGTACTCTGTATTCCTGTTACTCCTTCCAAAGTGAATCACCTCACACTTTTCCGCATTAAACTCCATTTGCCACCTCTCAGCCCAGCTCTGCAGCTTATCTATGTCCCTCTGTAACCTGCAACATCCTTCCGCACTATCCACAACTCCAACGACTTTGGTGTCATTCGCAAATTTACTAACCCATCCTTCTATGCCCTCATCCAGGTCACTTATAAAAATGACAAACAGCAGTGGCCCCAAAACAGATCCTTGAGGTACACCACTAGTAACTGAACTCCAGGATGAACATTTCCCATCAACCACCACCCTCTGTCTTCTTACAGCTAGCCAATTTCTGATCCAAACCGCTAAATCACCCTCAATCCCATGCCTCCGTATTTTCTGCAATAGCCTACCATGGGGAACCTTATCAAACGCTTTACTGAAATCCATATACACCACATCAACCGCTTTACCCTCATCCACCTGTTTGGTCACCTTCTCAAAGAACTCAATAAGGTTTGTGAGGCACGACCTACCCTTCACAAAACCGTGTTGACTATCCCTAATCAAATTATTCCTTTCTAGATAATTATAAATCCTATCTCTTATAATCCTTTCCAACACTTTACCCACAACCGAAGTAAGGCTCACTGGTCTATAATTACCAGGGTTGTCTCTACTCCCCTTCTTGAACAAAGGGACAACATTTGCTCGGCTCCAGTCTTCTGGCACTACTCCTGAAGACAATGACGACATAAAGATCAAAGCCAAAGGCTCTGCAATCTCCTCTCTAGCTTCCCAGAGAATCCTAGGATAAATCCCATCCGGCCCAGGGGACTTATCTATTTTCACACCTTCCAGAATTGCTAACACCTCCTCCTTATGAACCTCAATCCTGTCTAGTCTAATAGACTGTATCTCAGTATTCTCCTCGGCTACATTGTCTTTTTCCTGTGTGAATACTGATGAAAAATATTCATTTAGCACCTCTCCTATCTCTTCGGACTCCACGTACAACTTCCCACTACTGTCCTTGACCGGCCCCAATCTTACTCTCGTCATTCTTTTATTCCTGACATACCTATAGAAAGCTTCAGGGTTTTCCTTGATCCTACCTGCTAAAGACTTCCCATGTCCCCTCCTGGCTCTTCTTAGCTCTCTCTTTAGGTCCTTCCTCGCTAACTTGTAACTCTCAAGTGCCCTAACTGAGCCTTCACGCCTCATCTCTACATAAGCCTCCTCCTTCCTCTTGACAAGAGATTCAACTTCTTTAGTAAAAATTGTATCATAAAAATTAGATTCTTGACACAGAACAGCAAGGGACACCTGAAGGAAAAACTTCATTGTGGTAAATGAGCTAACTTCAATGAGGTAAGGAATTGAACTAGGGTAAAATGAAATTGAATACTGACCATTATGAAATGAACACAACTGATGTATTACGCCACTGATTAAATACATTAGAAACTGAGAGTGACAGATTTTAACGAACCAACTTTAGCAGCCCTCTTTGGTGAAGAATTCCACAGAATCACTATTCACCAAGACAAATTCCAAATCATGTTGTAAATGGACAACCCCTTATTGTAAGATTACACGCTCTAGTCCTATACTCTCCCACAAGGTTAAACAATCTTTCTACATCCACCCTATCAAGGCACTTAAGAACCTTGTGCTTTTACTGGCTGTCAGAAGTGGTTTAAGTTTTTCAGAATCTGGTTCCAAAGGAGATGCCAAATCTTACTTTAAGAGCCTCCATTTTTTTGCGCTTTAGCTCAGCCTCATCACTGGATTCTTGTCCATCTGAACCATCACTGTCACACTGAAAACCAGATATGGATAAAATGAGTAAACTGGTACGTTTCACTCCAACACAGTAAGTTGTCTTAATTACATTAATAACAGCTTATTGGTCCTGTAACACAAGCTATTCAGGAAAGCATATCCATGACTTTTGAACAGAAAATGTTTTCATCATACATGCACCCCTTTTGATTTAGTGGCAGACAATTACATGGCATCTTAAAGCCCAGGCAGCAACAGAGGAGCAGGAAAGTTGATGTTTTGGGTCGGGACCCTTCTTCAGAAATGGGGAGGGGGAAGGGAGCTCAGAAATAAATAGAGAAGAAGGGTGGGGCTGAGGATGGTATGTGGGATGTGATAGGTGAGTGCAGATAGGGAGTGGTGGGGATTGGTCAGTGAGGTGGGAGGAGTGGATAGGTGGGAGAGAAGACAGACAGGTTGGTTCAGGTCAAGGAGGCGGGGATGAGGGGGAGGGTTGGTCATGGGATGAGGAGATTTTGAAACTGGTAAAATCTATGATTAGGCCATTGGGCTGTAGGCACCCGAGGCGGTATTTGAGGTGCTTCTCCAGTTTCTGGGTGGCATCATTGTGACATTGGAGGAGGCCCAGGATGGATGTCACCCAGGGAGTGGGAGGGTTGAAATGGTTTGCAACCAGAAAGTGTTGTCATTTGTCGCGAAGAGAGCACAGGTGCTCTACAAAAACGGTCTCCAAGCCTCCGCTTGGTGTCATCGATGTAGAGGAGGCCACATCAGGAGCAGTGAATGCAGTAGACCACGTTGCAGGTGAACCCCAGTCTAATGTGAAAGGTTAGTTTTGTGCCTTGCATGTGGGCGAGGGGGGAGGTGTAGGGACAAGTGTAGCACTTCCTGCGATCGTAGGGAAAGGTGCCGGGGTTGATGGGGAACTTGGAGCAGACGAGGGAGTTGCAGGGAGAGCAGTCCCTACTAAAGGCAGATAGGGGTGGGGAGAGAAATATATCTTTGGTCATGGAGTCGAACTGTAGGTGGCAGAAGTGGCGGAGAATGATACGTTGGATACGGATATTAGTGGGGTGGTATGTGAGGACAAGGGGGATTCTATCTTTATTTTTGTTGCAGGGAGGGGATGTGAGGGCAGAGGTGCGGGAAACGCAAGAGATGCGGTCGAGGGCGTTTTCAATCACAAGGGGGGCGCGCGTTGCTGTCCCTGAAATAGGAGAACATCTGGGATGTGCAGGAGTGGAATGCCCCTTCTTGGGAGCAGATACAGCAGAGGCAGAGGAAGAGGAATTGGGAGTAGGGGGTCGCATTCTTGCAGGAAGGTGGGTGACAGGAGGTGTAGTCTGGGTAGCTGTGGGAGTCGGTGGGCTTAAAATAGATGTCGGTGTTGAGGCGGTTACCAGAGATGGAGACAGAGAGGTCCAGGAAGGAGAGAGAGGTATTGGAGATGGTCCAGGTGAACTTGAGGTTGGGGTGGAAGGTGTTAGTAAAGTTGATGAAGAGTTCAATTCCCAATTCCTCCGCCTGCGCCGCGTCTGCTCCCAAGATGGGGTGTTCCACTCCCGCACATCCCAGATGTCCTCTTATTTCAAGGACCACAACATCCCCCCTCTGGTGATGGAAAATGCCCTCGACCGCATCTCGTGTTTCCCACACCTCTGCCCTCACATCTCCTCCCCGCAACAAAAATAAAGACAGAATCCCCCTTGTTTTCACATATCACCCCACTAATATCCATATCCAGCGTATCATTCTCCGCCACCTGTAATCCGACCATACAACCAAAGATATATTTCCCTCCCTACCCCTATCTGCCTTTCGTAGGGATTGTTCTCTCTGCAACACCCTCGTCCACTCCACACTCCCCAGGGGCCCCACCACCCCTGGCACCTTTCCCTGCAACCTCAGAAAGTGCACAGCTGGCCCCTCACCTCCATTCAAGGCACCAAACAAACCTTCCACATTAGACACAAGTTCACCTGCACATCCGTCAACGTGGTCTACTGCATCCGCTGCTTCCGATGTGGCGTCCTCTACATTGGTGAGACCAAGGAGAGGCTCGGAGACCATTTTTGTTGAACACCTGCACTCTGTATGCGACAAACGACAACACCTTCCAGTCGCGAACCATTTCAACTCCCCCTCCCACTCCCTGGATGAAATGTCTATGCTGGGCCTCCTCCAGTATCACAACGATGCCACCCACAAACTGGAGAAGCAGCACCTCACATTCCGCCTCAGGAGCCTACATCCTGATGGCCTAAACATGGTTTTTACCAGTTTTAAAATCTCCCCTCCCCCGGCCTCATCCCATGACCAAACCTCCCTCTCTTCCTCGCCTCCTTGACCTGACACAACCTGTCCCACCTATTTGCCCCTCCCACCTCACTGATCAATCCCCATCACTCCCTTCCTGCACTCACCTATCACCATCCCACCTACCTTCCCCAGCCCCAACCATCCTCTTTCTATTTATTTCAGAGCTCCCTTCCCCCTCCCCCATTTCTGAAGAAGGGTCCCGATCCGAAATGTCAACTTTCTTGCTCCTCTAATGCTGCCTGGCCTGCTATGTTCCTCCAGCTCCACACTGTGCTGTCTCTGGCTCCAGCACCTGCAGTTCTTCCTGTCTTAAAGCCCACTTCCCTGTAATGCTATCAGACAAACTTCAGTACCTAGTCACGCAAGAAGGGGGTTTTGACCAAAGGTTTAATCCGTGAGGCAGGTTTGAATGTGTGTATGTGTCTTATAGGATAAATAATAGGTAACGATGCAGACAGGTTTAAAGGCAGAAACTACGGAGCTTAGGGCTTGCTTAACTGAAGATGCACCACTAATTATATATGCCCAAGCTAAACTGTCATAACCACTTGCCTGAAGTCATTTAAGGGTGAACATAATATGCCCTGTGGTTTTGGTCACTGTTGACAGAGGAGTAGATGCTAGGATAAAGGAAATGTTTGCCAAGGAAACTTATTTGCCTTGTGAAATGAATTGATAAAAAGAGTGTGCTATTTTCATAGCACTGCCAAGTGACTGATGCAGTGTGCATTACAAGAACAGAAGTCAAAGGTGACAAGCTGGCATAGTTTCAGTGTTTCGGGATACAGCTGGGAACACAATTTTATGAAAGAAGAAAATCATTTAGTTTGATGACATCAACAGATGGTCAGAGGTTGGGTTCCACTGTTTTATAGTTATTGAACCAAACACCTCTTGAATAGAATGCCATGATTAAAAACAAATGACAAAGTGTGACCAGAAGCATAAGAAATCCAATGACAGAAATAGGACATGTAGTTTGGTTAAAATCTGGTGAAAAGTAGACAGTGTGCTGAACTATCTAAATAACACATGTGGTCAGCAAGAATCAATTTCATTCTCAGGTGCTGAGAGAGAGGGGGTGAGGGGAGAGGACTGTATGTGTGTGGGGGGAGGGAAAAAGAGAGGGGGAGGGTGAGAGAGTCAACATGGTCAATAAAAATTCACAGCATGTGGGGGTTTTTGGATGGGCCAGTACTGATTGTCTACTCCCAATTGTTCTCAAGAAAGTAGGAGCGGTTTGCTGTCTTCTTGAACTGCTGCAGTCCTTGGGGAAGTTGGCACATACACAAAGTGCTTATAAGGGTTTTGGAAAGAGGGAACCATTCAATCTTAGGGTTATTGAGGAAAAAATGGTTTAATACAACCGCAAAAATGTGCTATAGATTTACTATCAAGCCTTTCCAAAGATTTACTTCAACAGTTTTTAAACTGTTCATTTTCAAGAGTTAGCATGCTAATTAATAATTTATCTGCTTTCCAGATTTAAATTCCAAATGACCATGTTAAGAAAAAAATTACCGAAGCCAATACAGACAGCAACTTCCAAGAAGTAGTAATAAGAGCATACCTTCTCTCCTCTGAGTTTCGCTTTAATTTCTTGTCGTTCATTGAAGTTCTGAAGTCGTATTTGTCGGAGTCTTGCCAAGTACTCCTAATGACATGAACACATATTACTCCAGCACACGAGTCTCCATAACTTTAAAAATAAGTTACTCCGTTTCCTTACTACTTTTTTTCACATTAAAACAAAACCTTTCAAACTATAATTGACAACATAAAAGGCAGAACGGGAATACTGTGAATTCATTTGATTACTGCTCAAATATGTGACTTGCTTTTGTATTTTCAATTCCTCTGGTCCATGAGGGCCACTTGAGTTCAACATATTTTTCTTGTAACATTGACAAATGTAAACGGGTCAAAGAACCCACTGCAATTTGTGATGATGATTGTCCTTCTTATTCAGCCACCTGCTACAGGAACAAGTGGTCAAAAAAAGAGCTTCACCCGACTGATCCAAAGGGATTGAACCTTCAAAAATTAAAGGGGCTACCATTTTTAGTCCAACTGAGAAGTTTAAAAAAAAATCCCATTGGATCTGGCTAAGAGATGTACGCATCAGCAACACTGGTACTTGAACCCAGTATGAGGAGCAATACATAGTCTTCTTCAACACTTCCAGGCGTTTGCTGATCTTATATGCATGCTAACTTGGATATCAATCAAATAAGTCTCAGTGTATAGGTACATTAAAAGCTTCAACTCAAAAACCTTGCAAAAGCTCTCCAGTTTTACTTTCTGTATCAGAGTAAGTTACAAATTGACAATAAGATTTTCATTTGTGCATTCATGCATGAACTAAGAAATATCCACTAATTTCTAATTATATCTTTAGAAATTCAAGCATTTGATATATTCTGTCTGTGTGTCATTCTTTACAATGGAGTCCAACATTCAAACAGTTTAAGGTAATTTTGATTGAAAACTGAGAGGAGGCAGAAAGTTAAATCATACAAAATAGGAACCACAGTTATGTACCACCAAAACTTAGAAGAAAGGAATCAGCCAAGTATCACCAGATCACCAAACACCAATGCAAAGCCACTGAAGCACTTGACAATTTATCAAAAACGTAAATACAAATTTAAAAGAAAAAGACAATATTTCTTTAGCAAGAGCACTAAAACAAGAACATAAAAGCAAAATAAAAATGCAGCAAGCAATTGAAAACAAAACCAAAGAATATGTCTTTTTAAAAGAAAATCTGAACTTTCACTTGTCAGCCACTTTCACGATGGCATACTGATAAACTTCATAGCAAAGTGAATAGGCCATCTGGCTAAGAAAGCATTGGCCAGCCTTGCCTTTCTAATAGCAATGCTCTCCATATCTCTCAGTACCATTAATTTCGAGTCATCAGTGATATTCCTTTTCAACACTTCACTGACTCTGCATTGACATGCCTTGCTAATGTGGTTTGCATTCTTATCAATCTACATTTGAAGAAGTCTTTTGAAATTTACTGTTCAGCAGCTTCATAGAAACTCTAAGATTACATTCATTTGCTTTGACATCCACACACCAATTAGGCAGAAGCCATTCCCCATCTGTTTAGTTACCAAGGAGTTTGATCATTTGAACAGCTTTATAGAATCATACAGTCATAGAGTCATACAGCATGGAAACAGACCCTTCGGTCCAACCAGTACATGCTGACCACGTTCTCAAACTAAACTAGTCCCACCTGCCTGTGCTTGGCCTATATCCCTCAGAACTTTCCCTACTCATTAACTTAGCCAAATATCTTTTAAACGTTGTAACTGTACCCGCATCCACCACTTCCTCTGGCAGTTCATTCCACACATGGACTACACTGTGTAAAAAAAAAAACTTGCCTTGTCATGCCCTTTTTAAAACTTCCTCCTCGCACCTTAAAATTATGTCCCCTGGTTTTGAACTCCCCCACCCTAGGGAAAAGACCCTTGTCATTCACCTTATTTATACCCCGCATGATTTTAAAAACCTCTGTAAGGTCACCTCTCAACCTCCAATGAAAAAAGTCCCAGTCTATCCAGACTCTCTTTATAACTCAAACCCTCCATTCCTACTAACATCCTGGTAAATCTCTTCTGAACCCTCCTCAGCTTAATAAAATCCTTCCTATAACAGGGTGACCAGAACTGCACACAATACTCCAGAAGAGGCTTCATCAACATCCTGTACAACCTCAACATGACAGCCCAATTCCTTATTCAAAGGTCTGCGCAAAGAAGGCAAGCGTGCTAAATGCCTTCTTAACCACCTGTCTACTGGTGATGTAAATTCCCAAAAATTATGAACCTGTACCCCTATAAGATTACCGTTGGATTACTCCTTCAGGGCCTCACCTCCAGGGAATAGCACCTAAATTTTCACACCAGGTTTGATCAGCATGCTGTACAACTCATTGTAGTTTACAGAAGGGGAAGGCAATGGCCTAATGGTATTATCACTGGACTATTAATCCAGAGATCCAGATAATGTTCTGGGGACCTGGGTTCAAATCCCGCCATGGCAGATGGTGGAATTTGAATTCAACAAATATCTGGAATTAAGAGTCTAATGATGACCGTGAATCCACTGTTGATTGTCAGAAAAACCCATCTGGTTCACTAATGTCCTTTAGGGAAGGAAACTGCCATCCTCACCTGGTCTGGACTACATGTGACTCCAGGCCCACAGCAATGTGGTTGATTCTGAACTTCAGGTCAGACTCACGAACTGCCCTCTGGGCAATTCGGGATGGGCAAAAAAAAAAAAAAAGCTGCCTGGCCAGCGATGCCCTCGTCCTGTGAATGAATAAAGGGAAAAAACCTCTACTGCGTGGATTCAGGCTATTTGGCCCATCGAGTCCACTGTGAGCGTCTCATCCAAATCCACACCCCCAACCTATCCGTGTAACCCTGCACTTCCCATGGCTAATCCGTCTAGACTGCACATCCCTGGAAACTGTGGGCAAGTTAGCATAGCCAATCCACATCTTTGGACAGTGGAAGGAAACCCACGTAGAGAATGTGTAAACTCCACACAGACAGTCACCAGAGGGTGGAATCAAACCTGGGTTCCTGAAGCTGCGAGGCAGCAGTGCTAACCACTGAGCCACTATACCACCTTTTACTTGCTTGATTTTATATATTCCAAATCTCAAGATTAAACCCAGCACCCAGAGTCTCCTGATATGTTTTCTGAATATGAGTTAATGTCTAAGATTCAAGTGACTGGATGACAAAAATCTTTTGCTCATCTATCCCACCGGGCTTCAAAAACATTTTAATAGCAAATTGGGCAATGGATCAGCTCACACTCACCTTGATCAGTAGTCATTTTAGCCACTCTCTTAACCCCAATGTCCTACTGAAATTTTCTGCTATGTCGTAATTCCCTTCCCTTGAGTTTACTATCAACTAATATAAACTCCTTGATACCCAAGTAAAGTGTAAAGTCGGTGTTCCAGCTCCAGCAATGACCAGTAAGCAATATTACTTCTCACTGGCTATCCTTCTCAGAATGTCTTCATAATCCAATTCTCCACTTTCTACCTCTTCACCAAATTCCTGTTTCTATCAAAGCTTTACCTCATTCCATGCTTTTCAACCTTGATTTTTTTTTAAAAATCGCCAATAGAAAGTCACAAGTAACTCAAACATTTACCTGACCTAAAAGTGACTAAAATGTCACTTTTCATAAGCTATTAAAGTTTACCTAATTGATTTGACTGAAAATACAGGACTGTGCAATAAACTGCTGAAACTCTCTCAAAATAAAACTTGAGTGTTTTGATGGCCTTACATCTATTCACATGACAAGGGTAACGTTGGGACTTCACTGTCTGGAGTTCACCTCTGTTTGCACTCAGAGCAAGATCAGGGATATCAATAGGGAGGCGAAAATAACTTGCAAAGAAATTTGTAAGGCTGGGGATATGCAGCCTCTACTTATTTTAATTCCAGAGTATCACGATCATATTATGCTCCAATTCCCGCCTGGGAACAAACCAACAGTCTGGTCAGTGACAGGAAGAGTTAACTAAAGATCCTTTCTGAATGATCTGCAGTGACTGGATGGGATGGGAATGAACAGGCACCAAATTATGTCTGGTGCCTTTCAGGTGAAACTGGTTAGCTCCAGTAACCGTCAGGGCAAGCTGGTGGTGTAGTATCATTGGACTAGTAATCCAGAGGCCTAGGCTGTGCTCCGGAACATGGGTTCAAATCCCACCACTGTAGCCGGTGGAATTTAAATCCAGTTTGTTAAATCTGGAATTGAAAGAGACTTTCAGAATGGTGACGGTGACAACTCTCATGGATTAGAGCAAAAACTCACCTATCCAACGCGGCACAAGTTAGGAACTCTAATCTATTCTCCTGATTTCTCGGTCTCTGTTGCGTCTGCTATGATGACGAGGTGACCTGCCAAATCAGTGCTTCTGATAGCTCTTTTTCCTCTTCTTTTCCTTTGCATCATGGTTGCTGGGGCTCGTGACCCATGTCCTTTCCATTTCATGCATTCACCCTCCGATTCCTTCCTCTCCCTTCAAAAACCATATTTAGATTCTCTTGACCTTCAACTTCTGCCCTACCAGATCCATTTTCTGCGGATCACTGCCCTTTATCCTCACGGTGATGTCACAACTAAACACATCTGACACATCGGGGAAACCAAGCGGAGGCTTGGGGACCGCTTTGCGGAACACCTACGCTCAGTTCGCAACAAACAACTACACCTCCCAGTCGCGAACCATTTCAACTCCCCCTCCCACTCCTTGGACGACATGTCCATCCTGGGCCTCCTGCACTGCCACAATGACGCCACCCGAAAGCTGCAGGAACAGCATCTCATATTTCGCTTGGGAACCCTGCAGCCCAATGGTATCAATGTGGATTTCACAAGCTTCAAAATCTCCCCTCCCCCGACCGCATCCCAAAACCAACACAGCTAGTCCCCGCCTCCCTAACCATTCCTCCCACCTCAAGTCTCACCCCCATCTCCTACCCACTAACCTCATCCCGCCCCGTTGACCTGTCTGTCCTCCCTGGACCGACCTATCCCCACCCTAACTCCCCCCCTACATTCACCTTCACTGCTCCAACCCCGCCTCTTTGACCTGTCTGTCTCCCCTCCACCTATCTTCTCCTTTATCCATCTTCTATCTGCCTCCCCCCTCTCCCTATTTATTTCAGAATCCCCTTCCCCTCCCCCATTTCTGAAGAAGGGTCTCGACCCGAAACGTCAGCTTTCCTGCTCCTCTGATGCTGCTTGGCCTGCTGTGTTCATCCAGCTCTACACCGTGTTACATCTGACACTCCCCTTTGCTTTCAGCATTCCAAAGGAACCATTATCTCCATAATACCCTGGACTCGTCCTCAAATCATCCCCACCACCTTTAATGCATCAACTTCCTTTAATGCACAACAAAACTGTAATACAATACTTTGTATACATGCAATTTGGAGAGAGAGCTGGAGTACATTTTATTCCGACTCTAAAAAAATGAAACTCAAAATGAGAAACTGAACATTTTTTCCCCCACTATGTTTTGATTACATTCCTGCGGGGTAGCCAATATCTTTGTACTCCCACTCATCCCATCAACTGATTTTGTCTAGTCGACCTGTAGGGTCTCCTGTCCATTACTGAAAAGGATGGGGTAGGTTGTTATCTCATCACTGTCAATATAATTCATTATTTATGTCTCTGTCAAGACTCTCTCATTTAAGTCTACTTTCATCAACTGAAAGGACACAGAGATTCAGTTTGACACCTTCCTGTAAGGCCAAAGTGCGATAATCAAGTTGGGAATGGCCGAATTAAAATCGGGGTACTGTAACTCCCCGCAAGGCATGCTAATACTCCAGCACATTACATGTTCACAAGCATTTGACAATGGGTGGAGTAGAAATTAGGATTTACATGGCACTTCCATAATCTCAGCACATCTAAAAGGAAATCATAGCTGAAGTAGTGTATTTTGAAGTTCAGTCACCATTGCAACGAAAGGAAATTCAGAAGCAATTTTTGACACAGCAAGGTCACTCAAACATCTATCAGATAAATTACCATATTGAACTCTATTCAACATATCCATTGAGAGGTAATTATGAGCAAAGTCATTGGAGGAATCTTCTCCTAAACTGTGGCATATATCTTCTATGTCTACCTGAAGAAGCAGAGAGGAACTCAACCTAATTTTCATCCAAAAGATGGCACCTCCAATAGACGCTGCTGCACTAAGATGTGTCAGTCTCGATTTGTATTCAAATTTCATCTCTGCGGTTCTTAAAATTAGAACTTTCTACCATGAGTGTTACCACTGAGCCCAAACTAACATATCCTATTCCACACGTAAAGTTAATTCTCGCTTTATTTTACATAATTCAAGTAGACAAAACATAAATAACGCAAAGAAAATGTTCGCATTAACATCACTTCTCAAAAATCAAAGTTACAAACAATTATTTTTGTTTTCTTAACATTTCCATGAAAGATTTAGCTGACGAATACATTTCTTGGTCTAGGCACCATTTAGTAGGTCTCATACGTCTTGGGAGGGTGTGGAAAGTGAATTCACTGCAAAACAATGAAAGCCAAGCCCAATTCTTGCCTCACCCAACATCAATACAAGCAGGCATTTCCAACTGTTATCATAATACACCAGTCATGGGCACAGCCCTGGCCAAATTTCTCCTCTTTAAACTGAAGGTACTGAGGACAACTCCAACTTTCATACTACCATTGCTGTCTAAGATCCACTAACTCAGCGGAGTGGGAGAATTGGAAGTAAAGCCTTGCTGGTCTGCATACCTGTTACTCACTGGCTGTGCTTATTGAAAATACACCTGGATTGTTAAAAGCACGGGCTTGGGGAAGTTAACGAGGCCAACAAGGTCAGGATATGCAATTAATTTCTTCCACTGAAACAATTCACTTAAGTTTTGCTTTGTCAAGGCAGAGACAGTTTGAGGCTGCATCTCCCTTCCAGTCTCCTCATACTAGTCTCAACACATTGATCATCATCACCATAAACTCCAATAATTTATTCACTCACTGAGGTAAATTGTCACTTTTATATTTCCTATTGTGATAGAGAACATTCTATCATTGATCCTGAAGGCATGGTTCTAGAATGACAGTTCCTGGTTATTGTATCTATACATGTTCATCATCAGTAGCTCCTTGAAGGCAGTTCATCAGGAAGTCATCAACTTCATTACTCAAAACAAAAAAGGAGCAACAGCAACTGAAAAGGGAGAACAGTGAAAGACCTCTTTCCACTTCCCTGTACACTTGAAGCACTTCAAAATATACCTTCATTGCAGCAAACATTCTTGTGCATTAAAAAGGCCCAAATTAATTCTTAGAATACAGGCATACAAGGGAAGCAGGGAGATCCTCCTGTTGATTGGACTGTATGTTTAAATAGCAGGCATACTGGCAAAGTGGTCCAAAAAGACATGCCACTGGCATTATGAAGATGAGAAACATGCAGGCCTCCTACCTCTTCCTCCTTGCTTCTGGATTTTCCTCTTCCTGTTGAAATGGACCTGCCTCCATAGATAGCTGCCAGGTTTTGCAGAATCCCCTGTTTACCATTCAATGGGTTACATTTAAGAAAATGGGGCGTATGCAAAAAATAAGTGCACACCAAACCACAAATTCAATACTATGTGGTCATTGAACACTAAAATGTAGTTTAATACTTTCAGCACGGAATAAAGACAACAATATCACTGCTTCCATAAGAATGCTACCAATCTTTGTAAAAATATGTTTTAAAACCAATAGCATCAAGTTAATATTTACTTCAAATGTTTGCTAAAATTTCAAGACCCTTGAAGATTAAGATTTTAAAACTACATGATAAAAAGCACAATTACTAATTCTCAGAATAATGGGCTACAAAAAAAAAAATCATCTTCAAGGATATTAAATCCAAAAAGTGACAGATCATCTGCCACCCTAATGAGTGAGGGCAGGAGTCCCCAAACCTAACAGAAACATAAAATAAGAACAGGAGTAAGCCATTCGGCCCTTCAAGCTACTCCGCCATTCAATGTGACCATGGTTGATCATCTTACTGTGTACCCTGCTCCTACTCTTGCCCCATATCCTTTGATCCTTTTAGCCCTAAGAATGCAAGAACCTGCAGGAGTAGGCACTTCAGCCCCTCGAGCCTGCTCTGCCATTTAATACGATCACAGCTGACCTCATCTTGGCTTCAACTCCATTTTCCTGCCTGCGTCCCATAACCGTTTGACACATTACGAATTAAAAGATCAGTCAATCTCCTCCTCAAATTTATTCGATGACCCAGTGTTTGCCGTACTTCGGGGTAGTGAATTCCACAGAATCAAAATCCTTTAAGAGCAGGGATTTCTCCAATCCCACTTTAAATTTGCTGTTCCTTAGCCTGAAAGTATAACATCTCATTCTAGATTGCCCCACCATGGGTAACATCCGCTCTACAATTACTTTGTCAACCCCTTTTAGCATCAGATATACCTCAATTAGATCTTCTTTGATCTTTCCAAATTCTAGTGAGTACAGGGCTAAACCACTCTCTCCTCATAAGCTTTTTATCTCTGGAATAAATCTAGTGAGCCTTCTCCAAACGGCCTCCAATGCAATTACGTCCTTCCTTAAGTAAGGGGATCAGAACTCTATGCAGTGCTACAGATATGGACTCACCAATGTCTTGAATAGTTTCAATAACATTTCCCTGCATTTATACTCCATTCTTGCAGCAATAAAAGCCAAAATTTCATTTGCTCTCCCTATTACCTATTGTATCAGCCTTCCAGCTTTCTGTGAATTTTGAACAAGGACACTCAGAACATTCTATGAACTGTGCTGAGTCAGTCATTTCCCTGAAGGTAAATAAGTCTGGAACCTCTGCTCCTTTATGTCAAATTTGCTAACATTTAGCAATTTGACTAATTGTTCAGTTAAATCCAATGAATAGTTATCAGCTTTTTTGAAGCAGCCAATAACAGTACACAACCACCCAGATATTCTGCACAGCACCACTTTGTATCAGCAGGCATAAATCCACATCATAAATGTGCAAAGCTAAGCTGGCTTCCTAGTGGACCCACAGCGCAAGGGATCAGATTCTCACTGGTTAGTATCACACTATCCCTAATGCACATTATTATAAGCTTGGTGTCACACTGGTGTACAAGATCCATGTAAAAAGAGTGGAACTCAAGTGTTGGATTTGATTGATAAGATCACTGCAATTGTTACAAAGTATGGAGTGCAAACACCAAGTATAAAAATAGCAAATGGAGAAGGGAAAAAAAAAGAGGTGGTGTAGAGATAATGTCACTGGACTTGTGTTCCAGAAGCCCAGGCTAATGTCCAAAGGATATAGCTTCAAATCACCACAGCAGCTTGTGAAATTCAAAATTAATGCATCCCAACACTGAGCCAGGAGGTCGGGATTCAAGTCCCACCTGCCCCGGGTTTGCGTCACAACATGTCTGAACAGGCCGATTTAGAAATATGCCAAGCACATAACTTGACGTTCGTCCACATTATATTCCATCGGCCTTGTTCTTGCCCACTCCTTAGCCTGTATCCCTCTGCAATATATCAGCCAAGAAATTTAACGTTTAGCACCTTACGTCATAGTTGAATGCCTGCATGTACAGAATGGTGATCCAAGTTTCTGAAGTTACAGTGCCATCAGGCGGAGGTTCATGTGCTTGATTGAGGGGTGCGACAAAGGGGGAGTGGAAAAAAAAGAAAATTAGATACAATTACCACAATTTCCATTTTAGGGATTTGCATTTTGGGCTATCAAGTACAATTGGAATTGGGAACAAAAACAAAGTTGCTGGAAAAGCTCAGCAAGTCTGGCAGCATCTGTGAAGGAAAAAACAGAGTTAACGTTTCGAGTCTGGTGAAAGGAATGGTCACCGGACCCAAAACGTTAACTCTGTTTTTTCCTTCACAGATGCTGCCAGACTTGCTGAGCTTTTCCAGCAACTTCGTTTTTGTTCCTGATTTACAGCATCCGCAGTTCTTTTGGTTTTTACAAATGGAATTGGATTTGGATGAAAGACCTTCTTCTCACACCCCATTACTATCATTGAAAATTCACCAAAAAATTGCTTAATATACAGCATTTCAACGATTGAGAGACGTCGGATATACTTGGGTTGTTTTCTTTAGTGCAGAAAGGGCTGACGCAGGACCTGGACTGACAAGTTTAAGATTTTGAGCGGTATGGACAATGTGGATAGAAAGTAGCTGTCCCCCTTAGTCGAAAGGTCAATAACAAGGCGGCATAACTTTAAAAACGGTTAAAGACAGGAGATTTAGAGAGGATTTGACAATTTTTTTTTCCTCGGCAAATGGGTTGTGGGAATCTGAAATGCACTGCCTGAGACGGTGGTTGAGGCAGGACAGCTCAACCATTAAAAAGTACTTGGATGAGCACTTGAAACGTCATAACATTTAAGGCTATGGGTCTAGCACAGGAAAGTGTGACTAGCACAGATTTAGTGTAAAGCTTTGGCAGTACAGACCTGATGGGCCAAAGGGTTTCTTCTACACTGTATGAACGTATGATCCTAGCTCTCAATTTGGAGCCATATCTGTCTGGCCTTACATCCCAGATGATATTGCTCCACTTGTGCCACAGCCTACACTGTGACTTACACTGCGATCAGTGTTGGCTGGTGTTCCCTGAACTACCTCACTCCTGATTAATGACGTAGTGTAAATTCATGTAGCATCAATGCATATGGTTTTACTCTCTTCATGAACGGTTTGCTGCTGCGAGTCATGACTAGATCCAGGATCGTGCTTTCAATCCTAATGCAGCTCTGGCAAATTGGTCATCCATAGGAACAGCATCCCTCTTTGTACATGATTCCCACATTTCACACCTTAATCCAATCCATCCAAATGTACAATTTCTTCCCTTTCCTCATGCCTTGCATCCGTTAAGCAGCAGAGCAAATACACCTCTGTCCTGAATAGGATGGTGAATGCACACAGGAAGCCACGTCTTCAAAGACTGCGTTTCACAGGCATGGTGACAGAACACGTGGGCTCAGGATCTCCACGGAGGTCTTGACACTGGGATCCCAAAGCTCGAGAAAATCCAGCTCAGAGTCTCAATGGCATTGGAAATGAAGCAGGACATAAGCAGGCAATGTTTTTGAGCTGAAAATGGCGGTTTAGTCTATAAACATAGAAAAGTGGAAGAGAAGAATAGTCGGCCCTTAAGGCCTGGTCCACCACTTCCTAAAATCATGGTTGTTCGGATAGTGGCCTCAACTCCACTTTCCACCCATCCTTTAGTCAAGAATTTAACATGGCCTTAAAAATATTCATGGATGTCATCTCTACCGTGCTATAGGGTAGACAGTTCCACAAACCCACACCTTCAGAGAATGGGGGTTGTCATCTGTCATAAACAGGAGACCCTTATTCTTAAAAATTCTACTGCCTAGTTTCAGGTATTTTTAATCAAACCGTTTGGACGTATTATGACACATCTCTGCAGCAGGTAGGACGTGAACCCGGATCTTTTGGTTGAGAGGCAAGGACATCACAAAAGCCCCTTCCCCACATTCCAGTTTTCTTGTTAAGTACAAATTTGATGCCTAGCTGAAGTCAAAACATTACAGCTAGGTAACTCACTCTCTCTGTGAAGTTATGTAATTACGGCCGACAATACTGAATTTTAGGTGCAGAGATTCTGAACTAAAACTGTTAATGTCAAGCCAGATGAAGTCCTGGAATATATATTGCTGTGGAGTGGACAAGTACAAGGAAAGCACAGCAACAATTATGAAGCTAAGTCTGATATTCGAGTTGCACAGGCAGGCAACATACCACCTCCATTAAGTGAGAATCTAACCAACAATCCCAAACATTCAAGGTCAGGAGTAGAATGGATTACTCTCTATTTGTCCAGATGATTGCAAGAAGTTCAATACCATCCAGGTCAAACTTGCCCACTTAATGGTACCAGATCCACAAATATTGAGTCACTCCACCACCAATGCTCAATAGCAGCAGTGTGTACCTTTTACAAGATATAGTACAGAAATTCACCAAAGGTCCTTGGATAGCACCTTGAAAACACACAAGCACTTCCATCTAGAAGGACAAGGGCAGCAGATATTTGGGAATACCAGAAATGCAAGTCATTTCTAGTCACACACCATTCTCTCATAGATTCTTATCATCGTTCCTTTGGGCGCTGGTGTGTCAGAATCCTGGAACTCCCTCCCTAATGATAATGAGCATGAAACTATGCATGTCCTTACACCCAAGGTCAACAGTGGCTCAAGGAGACAGTTCACTATACTTTGAGGACAGTCTGGAATGGGAAATAAATGCAAACAATGCCTATATTCACGTAGAAATGCAAAATGTCTGATCAATGGCAATACACAGGATGTTAATATTGGAAGATTCAGCAATGGCAACGTCATGAAAATATTCATTTTCTCTTTTACAGATTAGCATTTTTTCAAATCCATCTGAGGGTAAAATATGGGTAAAGTCACCATAGTCTCAGGGGACCACAGGGGTGCTCTCTCATTAGAGCAAGCGATGCCTGGTGTTGGTTTAACCGGAGATCACCACGCCTCAGGCAAGGGATGAGATTGAGAAGGTTGGACCTTCATGGAAACCTCAGTCAATTCAGTATGGTATGTCGAAGGGTACTATGCTGCAAACCAATCCCTTAAGACCTCCATCACCACACAAACCCGAGCTCATTTGTTGACAAAACAATGGTTGAAAAGTAGAAGAAAACCCATGAGTATGATAAAGAAAGCAAAAAAGAGTGACACACTCAGGTTTTACGATAATATACTTTATGTGCCAAGTTTAAATGTAACGTTTTGTTTCACACTTTCTTTGCACAGCTAACAATGGATTGGATTGGAACTTTCCTGGTTGAGTTAATGATGCCATCGTGCACAAAAGTGACAGAGTGTATAGCAATACTCAGAATCTATTGCAAGCATTTTACCATCATGTGTAAATTACAACACAGAATAAAGATTTTTAAAAACTGCATAAATTACTGCCAAATACTAACAAAAAATCTACTTAAATGTACCGACATAAATACAACTTATTAGCCATGTGGTTACAGAATCTGTTAGATTGGAGAATTTGGAGCTCAGTGGTGTCTAAACTAAAATACAAATTTACAGATAGATTACTTAAGAAAATCACAGTTCAATCACCTTCCTGTCATAATCAAGTCAGGAATGTTAACAGTTGGAATGGGAAATCAGTAAAAGTTACTGAAAAATTAGCCAAGACGATTATTTGTTTAGAATTTAGCAACTGAAAACAAAATCAAGTATGTTTCATGCAAAATGCAAATTTTCCTAAGTATTTAATGTAGACAGTCCAATATTTAAAATGGAAATTTTGCAAGGCAGAAAACAGAAAATGCTACATTTCGCTTTACAAAACAATACAGTCAAATGTCTCCCCGCGTTTCCAAATTTGACATGGCATTCGCCTGTTCAAATAACTACCACTTGAAAATTAGCTACAGTATTGTTACAGAACACAGTGAATGCTCAAATGCTCATGGTAAAGGCAGTAATTCACAGTTCAGTGATCATCTTACTCGAAATAATATGAGACTTGTTAACATGCAGGGAGAAAAACAAAACCTGAAAAATGTTTTGAGCCCCATTCTAAACTGCGATTATTCAATGTCTTTTGCACAAGATCAGAACTCACAACACCAGGCTGTAGTTCAATGGGTTTATTTGAAAACACAAGCTTCACTCCTTCTTCAGGTGTTAGTGAGGGAGGTAGTATCAGATACAAAATTTATAAGTAAAAGATCAAACGGTCACACCACTGATGAGATAACAAGGTGTAGAGCTGGATGAACACAGCAGGCCAAGCAGCAGAGGAGCAGGAAGGCTGACGTTTCGGGCCTAGACCCTTCTTCAGA